ATATGTGCTATAATAGATTAATATAATATCCAAATGATGATTATTATCTATCTAGAAACACTCAATGTATACGTACGCGTGCATAAATTTGATTGATTACTACTAGCAGACGAATCAGAATATCTTCTATTTATACATTGCGTTCCATTCCAACAGAACTGAGTTGGACATTCACACGCACCCCTAATAGAACATGTTCAATATCGATTCTGAATACATTTCGAACAGGGCTGTCCGCAATCATTGAAGGCATTTACAGATGATCGAAGTATTCCAATGCGTTGGGTTTGTACGGAGGAAGTCATGTTACCTGTGCTCAAAGCGCCCTCGAACAGACGACATACAAGAGATGAGATATCGTAAGTAAATGTTCGACATTGACGATTGATATTACAAGCTAATGCGAAAAGAAAAAGAAATTAGACATAAATAAATTAGTTCTATCAAATTTAAAAAGAAAAGATAATTGGCTACAATATCGATTAATAAACAACTTCGAAACTTACTAATAACACATCGAATAAGAGACGGGAGAGTACTTGCTGAGATTATTGTAAGAGGATCACCTGGTTGAAATTCAGTTCCCCAATTGCTTAGCCAAGTATATGATTCAAAAGTCAGGCCAGTTACAAGACATTTGATAAAGAACTGGTAAGAATTGACAATTTCTCAATTCTAGTCACTTTGATGGCATGAGTTTCTTTTCCTTTCTTTTTTTTTTTACCGGAATCCAATTGAAAGCAAGCACACAGTATGTTCACAAATTCATTTACCTCATCGTCCCACCCTTACATCGTTCAACTTAACAGAATCTCATCATATTTTTTCTTCATTCAATAGTAAGATTACATCTGAAAGATGCTAGTTGTTTAAAATATATTTAAAGCAAAAGAAAAAAAAATAACATGACTAATTAAATGAATTTGTTGTTTTTTTTTACTTCAAGTTCTATGCAATACGTCCGCCGTTAAATTTGATGCTTGGTTTTTTATAGTACTATGTGAACTGAGTAAAGTAGTTAATTAATCATTGAATGTTTAGATGCGTTTGAAGGAACAGGACACATATATTCTGATTTTCAATGATTCACAAATACTATAAAATAATAGAGACCTCTTTTTTTTTGAAAGACTGACAATGATCTTGTTTCGAATTGCTGATGTTTTCTTTAGTCTTTTCGATGTTATCGTTTTTTATTCTGTCAAAGTTATCTAGCTGTAAGATAAAGTGTGAAACTAACGAGTCAATATTTCAAACTAATTTTTGTTTCGTTGCTGATAATTAGCAATTGAAAAGATTAAAGACGTTTTGTTCATATGAAAAATTTCATTGATTTATGTCGCTATGTGTGATCTTATTTATTTTCTTTTTTTGAAGGAAGATAAGCCAGAATGAAAGCTCTTGTCTTGTCCAATTATGAAACAACCATGGAATCCAGATGAAATTCTATGTTGTCAAATATTTTGGTTTGACGTATACCAGCTCAACATCACTGATTCGCAAAAAAGTGCCGTCTGTTTTTGTCTTTTTTTCGAAAAATTTGAGTGAATAATCACGCCATCTGCTAAAGGAGGAGTGAAAGTTCTACAATTGGTAAAAATGACAATTGAGTCATCAGTGAACGACCAATTACCGTCATCCAGTTGCAATTTCAGAGGTTGACTAAAACGTGGCAGTAGTTCTCGTTCGGATGATTCAATAAATTCTCATAGATATTTTTACCATTTGTCAGCATACATCTGAAACTTTAATATCAAACATTGGTCGTATTGTATTATTTCTGAAACATGCCGTAATTATTTTGAGTAAAGACGAAAAATAACCGAAGAAAATAATGACACTACCAGTGATTCATTCTGATGAATCAGCAGTCTAGATAACCTACAGGTTGGTGAATTTCATTTGACGTGGTCAAACGACTTCTCACCTTTTATAATCAGTGCCGTCGCATCTATTGAAGGCAGTTAATAATCAGCAATAGACTCTTGTCACAACAATACAAATGGGACAAACAGAAAGTTCGACTAAAAGCAATGCAGTCAACGCTGAATCGGAATCTGCTGCTACAATTGATCAAAACAAAGCCACCAGTGTATCACCAGAATATTATGAACGTCGATTATTAAGGGAATGTGAACATATTCCTTTTGATGTCGAAGCCTGGTACAAGATCTTGTGCTCTCAAACATTCTATACAGAATTTATTCCAATATCTCCATCAATTGCTCGTGCTTTCGTCAACTATTATCAAACACGATATAACTCAAAACAACTATTAAATTCTAACGATGTCCAATTAATTCAGTCGATAGAGCATCAGTTAAAAGAACAAATATTCAGCTCAAAGGACAGTCCCTTTCAAACGAACGGTACTTTTATTCGTTTAAGTTCACGAAGTCCGAAAGATGGGTGTCCATTAAATTTACAAACATTAGTTAAACTCTATCATCAAGAATTGGCTGCATTGCAAGTCCAATATCCCAATGAATGTGATTCCATGGAAGGCAGAGCCAATATGCAATTAATTGCTTGTTGTTCTGCGCAATTCCAGTCTTTAAAATCAACAAATGAATTCGACGCGTTGAATCTCATTTTGTCAAGTGAAAGAGTTTTTATCGATTTACTTGCAGCACTCGATTGCCAGGACGTCAAGGACAATCAACTCCTTAATACTAAGAATATAGTTCTGCCAGAATGGAACAATAACATAATAATTCGTGAATGGAATCATTTGTTGGATCCATCAATGGAATTTCGTTGTTTTGTTTGCAAATCAAATTTGACTGCAATATCACAATACAATCATTATTGCAAATTCTATCATCTGCAAAGCGATTCAACAATTCAACGAATAAAATCTACAATTATTCAATATTGGCAACAAAAAGTGAAACCACTTTTAGACCCGTTTAACGATCTATACTCTAATTATGTAATTGATTTCGCATTAATTGAAAACAAAATATCCAATGAATTTGAATGTGTAGTCATTGAATTGAATCCGTTTGCTAAAAGCACTGGCGCCAGTCTATTTGACTGGCAAACAGATGTTGATCAATTGACGGAACAACGAAACGAAATCGAGATACGCGTCCGATCAGATTATTTCCCCAATATTTGTGAATACGTCGAATATGTTTTGGCAGAAAATGAATTAAATGCGAACAAAACTTTATCGTCTGAAAATGATGACAAGGAATCCTATTTTTCTTTCTTAAATAAAATACAAGTACAACTTGCTTGATAAACAATAGTTATCTCAATTGGGTTATTGAAGACAACAGCTTAAAAAAACAAGTTTCAGAAATAATAAAAAAAAAAAAGAAAAAAATTTGATCAATGATTTTTCATTTTTTGAACAATTGTGTATTGCCTGCACAACTGCTCGTGAAAGCAGTTATATATCATTACCTAGAACCAAAATCTTAGTTCTCCTCGATAAAAGATGTCTCATATGGGTGTGGGTGTAGTTAGAAGCGCAGAGAGAACTCATACACCGACAACCTAAGATGAAAGCTGTGCATATGAAAAATCGCTTTTTTTTCAGCATAGTGTCACGATAACAGCAGTAAATTTAAAATTAAAAAACGACAGAAAAAAAAACGTTCCACGTGCTATTATTTGACATTGACTTATTTCGATAGTGAATCGAAGAAAACGTCTCTTTCTTTCAAGATTGAAGAAAAGAAGAGAATACACATGTGTTATTCTTCAAATATTTACATATTTTGATCAGTGATGACAAAGAAAATAGGTGACTGAAGTCATATTGTATTACGCTTTACTTTTTTCATTATTTCGTGCAAATCGATGAAAAACTTAAGCCTATGGAATATGTTGATCAAATCCTCTTTCTTCACTCAATACGCAGCAGAGCAACTCTATCAAAACTCAAGACAACTAATAGTCGTATGTGACACCCGACATATTCAAGTCCATTTTAGTCTTCTCCATACGCTTCGTAGTTGTACGCGAGGTAATAGAATTTTCCTCATTGTCTACTAATTATTACAAGAGCTTAAATCGAAGTCAGAAACTCGACAGCGAACTCTCACGCCTAAACTACTATCTAGTTCTTACGAATTGCATTTATAACATGTGGTTCTTTTTCGAAAGACGAAAATGATACTGAAATATGATGATTGGTTTGATGTTTCTCTTGTCAATACGAGTTTTGAACATTCCTTTCAGCATTTGATATGTAATCGTGCAACAATCGATTCAGCTAAAAGAATAAAACTAACTGACTGAAAGAGCAACGAGGTAAATGATATTCTTTATTCTCTGCATTAGTTGTTGTAATGAGAAGTGACTTAGATTTGAAGGGCGAAACTTTCGAAAATATATATCTAAAATCGTGCAAAATGGATAAAATTCTCAGTATGCTCTGTGGCCGAAGCGGCAAGAATGAAAGTTCTTGACCAGATACTATACTAAGTACTTTTCAAGAAAAATCATTGGAAAGAAACAATCGGAACTTTTCTACATTCCTGAAATCTAATGCATCGGCATGACTTGTTTTTTCTATAAAATTTATGAAAGAAGAATCATCATGCGTCACTGATGGCTATTGTTTTCATTCGAATTACTATTATATTTTTAGATTGATTCGTATTGAAAATGCAGCATCATAAAAGTAATATAGTAGAGAAACCTCGCAATAGTTACCGTCGAAAAAAAATAGCTTTTTTTATACACTTGGGAGCGACATTTATCATGTTGTGTACGTCGATTGGCTTATGGATTAGTTAGAAAACAGGACAAAAAGATTGCTATGATTCGTGTATGACTTATGTTTTAGTACAATTTATCAGTGGACTTATTGTAACAATTATCGGATTTATATTTATGATCAGTTCGTTAATCATTGGTATTTGTTTTCTATGCCAAAGATCTATAATTGACATACTTTATGTACAACAGAGAGATGTTCATAATGTCACATGACGATGTGGATGCCAACCTGAGAGAGACAAAGATTCCGGCAAACAATTGCACAACAATCAATACATATAATGATAATTCATGCATATTCTAAAATGGCCACCGTATGAATATACTTATAACATTAGTAACACTCTCTCTGCTTCGCTGTACTGCAAAAGAATATTGAAGTACAATATTCTGTACATCTTTTTCTTCTAATTGTACTGGCATTGAGGGTGTGGGTGTGGGTGTGGGTGTTGGTCTAATCTAATGGACAGAAGTGCATTCACATCCACCACACCCTCAAGTACGAAAGTTGAAAATAATCATTTTCCAGAAGAAAGCCATTTTTATCATGTCTACATAATTAGACATTACCGCCTTCGCTACAACTAAATTCATCATAAAATCATTCGAATAAAGCAAAAAATATTTGCAATAAAAGTACATCTCTTATTCCCTTGACTGCAGAGCGGGTCATATGAGAAAACAATAGTTTGTGTTGGCATCAGGGTTAAAAAAACACCATCTCAAAGTTGTTTCGTACAAATTAAATCTAGATCGGAGAATCCGAATCTGAGATCAGCTTTTCAAAATTTCGAATTAAGTTTTTAAGGTCAAGGAAAGGGTTTTTTAAGAAAAAAATATATCTTGAATAATGCCCAGCGTGACCATAAAGTCGTGATCAAAGAAAAGAAGATTATTCGATAGTAATGTTCATGTTGAATATGACAAAATACTTGTGACTGAATCCGTTGCATACAGAATTTTCTCCTCTACAAAAGAAATTATGTATAACATTTGAGGATACAATAATTAATGCATAGACGAGAAAATAATGACACATTTATTGCGACTACTATCTGTTCGAGAAGTCAAGGCACTCGCATGTTTCTTGAAATCTTTGATAATCATGTTTGATTGTTACCATTAACAGTTAGTTATCGTTAGTTTTTCAAAATATCTTTTGTTTACAAAAATAAAACAGATTAGTATTTTCTTTTTGATACTCAGAAAAAAAAGAATAAAACAAACTAATCTTGAACCATCTGCAATAAAAATTACTAAATCTATGAAAGAATTTTACCATTTCATAGCTAATTCCCAAGTATCTTGGCGTGCTTTACTAACATCTAATGCATCAATTTCTTTAACACTTTCACATGCCATATTAACTTCATCAATAGGATTGACATCATTTAAAGCATTAACCTCCGTGGAATGTGGGTGAGTGTGAGTATGACTATATATGTGAGTGCAAACAGACTCAATATGTATATTCAAACATGTACCTACAACCATACTAACGTCCACTGTCACACCTAGGGTTGGCACTTTAACTTTACTTTAAAAGTTAAAGTTAAAGTAAAACACTTTAACTTTAACACTTTCTTAAAGTGTTTTTAAAGTTAAAGTGCCACCCCTAGTTACACCCAAATCCACGCTCACGCCAAAACCCACACTCTTAAAAATTATTGAATTGAAATAAATATGCAGAAGAATGTTGTTGATATTAATTCTTTCTACAATCATTTTTTATAAAATTCTTGATCAAAAAAAACTTTTCTTCGATGCATTATTGATAATGTTACTGTCTGGACGTCGTACTACTAATCTTTGTACTAAGCTACTGTCATTGACGAGAAAACGAGAATATTGTAAATGCTTTGAAAAGTATGAATCTCTATTGTTACAATTACAAAATAATCAAAAAGCAAGTAATTAATTTCCTCATAACTCATTATATTATTCTCGCTTATTTTTTTGAAAATTGGACTCAGTTATGATTGTTCTTACACTATAATTGCGAAATTTTGCTTGCGCAATGACACTCATATAGCGACATGTTGTCATATAAAAATACGCATGGAGCGTACATACGTAGGTTATTCATTCTTGTCTTGATCAAACAAACAAAACATTTAAGTAGAATAGTTATCAATTTTAACAGTGATGGAGAACAACAACAACACCACAACAACAATTACTGATCAATTGAATTCTCTTCGTTCTATCTTACATTCAGATGATCATCTTCAAATTTATCCATCTGGAGATTATGTACAAGTTCGAATAAAACTGAATCATGATATTCAAATAAGTTTTTTCTTTGATTCCTTAAACATTTTAAATAAGCCATTAACTATTAATAATCTACATGATTTACGAATTAAGAAATCATCTAATAACTGTCCATTAGATAAAGATCAATGGACAAATATTCGTCAATATTTTTATGAACTTATCCAACAGTCAAATGAATCAACGTCAATTCAATCAGTTATTCAATCAATTCAAGATTATTCAGTAAGCATAATGACAAACAATAAAAAATCAAGACGAAAAGAGAAAAAATCAACAGAAATTTCTGCAGGAGAAGATACATCAGCACTGACGAATAGATTTCGTCATTCGGATATCATATTCAATCGCATTTTACATGATAAGACGATTGATCGATCACAAGTTGTCATTGGATATGAAGATCGATTTATAGGCATTCATGAAATACCATTCAATGAATTTAAGCGAGTGCACGAACATGAGGTAAAGCATGACTCATCACTCATACTTATAAAATAGATGGCGATTATTTCTAGTATGGAATTCCACTGCATCGCATTCGACATTTTAAACTCAATGGAAATCTTGTATGGGATCGAAGAAAACGACTAGATCTAATAACTGGAAGTCAACAACAAAATGTCATATCTAATGGTACGAAAAAGAATCTTACATTTCATTTTATAAGCTAAAGAAACACAACAAAAAGAAAGACTGATTTCGTTTTACTTTAGCAACAATCTTATGTACTTGAGAAGAAGAAATACGAGGTAGTGAGATTCATATGGAAAAAGTGAAGGAGTTCGAATATACTGCTTACTAATAAGTTGTCATGATAATTTTTCATGAAGTTTTTACTTAGAGAGGGATACATTTTCAAGCATCAAGAAAGAAAGAATTTTGTTTTTAAGTATATTTAATACTCTGCCCGGTCAGACAAAAATTTAGAAAAACGCGTTTTCACTCTACAATCGGGAACCGCGATTGCCACCCATTTACGCTTATTAAAAAATCGCTGTTTCTTGCGTTTTTCGAGTTTTTTTGCGTTTATTTCTCAGTTTCACGACGTGAAAACGCTGAAAACTCCACTTTTGCAATGTTAAGACGATCTTCTATTTCTAATGTTTTCAGAAATCTAAAAACAGTGCGTTTGAACTCAGGAAAACTCAAGTTTTCAGTGTTTTCACGTCGTGAAAGTGTGAAACAAACGTAAAAAAAGTCGAAAAGGGTGTTGGCGGGTGTGGGTGTGGGTGTGATGGGTGTGAATACTCTTCTGTCCATTAGATTAGACCAACACTCACACCCACACCCATCCACACACCCACCCACACTCACACCCACACCCTCACTTATTATTCCAACAAAAATCAATGATACTGAAATTTTTCATCAAATGACGATAGAAGCTATCCTCACCAAATTTCCATGCAAAACGGCCTCAAGCAAGTGGATGTTATAGACTTTAGTCATTATAACAAACATTTCAAAACAAAATATTGAAAACCTCCCTAAAGTGGACACCTCCGTATAGTGGACACTTTGCCAAGGTCCCTTAGGTGTCCACTATAGAGAGGTTATATTGTACTTAATTTTTACATTTGTTTTGTCTTTAAAAATATATCATAAAAGAAAAACGTGCTCCTAAACTCTTGTCAATAGCTTTTTCATCTCTTCAGAATATCCTATGACAATAAGAATTAGTCTACAAGTGTTAAGTCTTTTTTTAAACATACATTTAAATCTAGATAAGATTTTTAGTGATGTTTATGTAGTAAAAAACAAGGCATTTCTGACTATCTGGTTAAAAGAAGCATACAAGATGGAATATTGAAGCACTTCATTTTCTGAAAAATCTGTTTTTGACTACTTTATGTGTCAACGTCTTCTAAACTCGATATTAGTTAGTCGATTAAAACTTATTTACTGCAAGCACATGGTTTCTTAATAGAAAGCCCTCTTTAATATTTTCATAAAATATTATTCTACTGATTTTTGAACTGTCAGTCTTATTTAAAACCATACAATGAGAATCTCCTATTTCATCTCAAAACTTTCTGTATTCTATAAAACTGAAATCATATTATTCATTGAGATACAAAATACATTCGTCCATTTCATAAATTCATTCTATTGTCATCTGAAGTCGTTCTTTTCGGTATTTAGACGACTATCAATATCTCTCTCTTGTACAAGGACTTTATTATTTCGATCATTCTCTTCAACAATGGATTGAATGTCCACATATACCATTAACATCTGATGATCCAAGAATTCCATCAACCAGTGAGACATGGTTACCTGAACGATGTCATTTTGTCACATGGAATATTCTATTTGATTATTATCAATCAACACTTATTCATAGTCAACAAAGATATCAAGCAATACTAGATACACTTAAATCAGTCTTACCCGATATCATTTGTTTACAAGAAGTAACTAAAAGTTTTCTTAATCTTCTATTAAATGAATTATGGTTTCAACAAAATAATTATTATGTTATTATTATGAAAAGTATTATAAATAGTGATGAAGAAAAATCATATGGACAATTGATGATTATGAAAAATTTTCGGCCAAGATCATTTTCAATATGTTCACTAGACCTGTCTGAAGATGATGAATTGGAATCACCAACAACAACTACAACAAGAAAATATAAAGCAAAAAAAGAATTAATCATAGCTCGGTTTGGTCTAAATGCTAGAGTTACAATAGATCTAGTTAATCTTCATTTGCATAGTGATCTTGCTCGTAATTCAACTGAAAAACGTTGTCAAACTTTATACAATCTCTTTCGAACAATGAAAACATATAATTATATGCTTATTGGAGATTTTAATTTTGGAGACGCACATTCAAAAGAACAAAATATTCTTGCAGCATACGAAAAGGACGTACATGATTTATGGAAAGAAGTTTATCGTCTTGATGAAGTAAGATATTTTAATTTTATTGATGGACGTTCTTTAACACCTTTCATGCAGTAAAAGTATATTCTTATACGTACTCAGTTATAGATAAATGTGATGTTTCTGTTCTATTACTTTTACTATCGATGAAAATCTGTAATAATGTAGTTGTTGATATTGAGCAAAATTGTGGATATTAAGCGAACAACAAAAAGAATTCAAATAAGATTTCTCGAGTTTTTGATAGTAAAAAAAAACATTTCTATTAATAATTTTTTTTTGCAAGTAAAGAATTTATAAGAAAACTTTTTGTTGTAGAAAAGAACACTTTTGAGTACCTTTCAAGAAAAACATAAGTTTTTCGTGAAAAAAAATGCATTGTTTAATACATTACACACAATCTTAAACTAAGAATTCTGATCTATCGATTTATATGAATAAAAGAAAACAACTTCAATAAAATTGCCCACTATTTTTGTCTATTGACGGATGACCGATAATGTGTTTTAGATGATTTCTCTACATCAAATCTCTATTAAGTTCCCATCAGAATTTCTATATTTCATTTAATTAATAAAAGTCACCGTCAACACTGTTCAAACTGAATTCGACCATTATAAAAAAAATTACATTTTCTATTTCATCATCTTCTCTAACTACATTTTTTTCTATGGAAATTCGTAAGAGTATCTCATCTTTATTATGCATACAAATATATTCTTTTGCAATTTTCAATACTTTATTCTATAATCATTTGTATCTATCATTAATTAGCAAAAAGATAAAGTACATGCGAATGTCGCTAGCGTTGGTCATTCGTATCAAAATCTAAATAAAAGTTTAACATATCTTAAAAAGATGACTGATAAGTTTTGAACTAGTTTAGAACTTCTGAAGCATCCTCAACTTTATAATGAACTAATATAATTGACATTTAACTTTAAAATGATAAGTAATAAAGTTTTGTCGATAATAGTTTCATAATAGATATACATTACATATCTTTGTGTCAGAGTTGAGCACAGGACGGGGCGCTCCAGCTCGTTCTGTATCCTATCCTGTGCTCAGCTTTGCTTTGTATATAATTGAATCTAGATTTTACAATCAACTTTTGTATTAATTCTAATACTTTCACATATGTTTCTTGCTTTCTCAATCTAGTTGGTTAAATCACTCTTTTTTGAAAAATTAATCTTATATTCTGCTAACTATTTTTAGAATCCTGGTTTTACATTTGATCCATCACGTAATATTTGTGCTCAAATAACATCTCGATCACAAAAAAATCGTCGTTTAGATCGATATTTAATTCATACATTATATAATCTTTCTTATTCAATTGAACATCTTTCAATGATAGCTGTTGATACAATACCAATTGATCCATTCAATAATGATGATAGTCAAAGAATTAATCTATCTGATCATTATGCATTACAATTAATGATCAATTTTCAGACAAGATCTATAAGTCATCGTTCTGCACTTGTGATTTTACCAACTACAGATAAGTGGTCATTAATTGATTCATATTGTGGATACTATGATTCATCTACGAGTCTATGGCCTTCACATATTAATTTATTATGGCCATTTTATGATTTAAATGATTGTCAAGATGATCAAGAAGATATTCTTTTAAAATTAAGACTTTTATTATGTCAATATTCATCATTTTCTATTCAGATAAATGAAATAGATTCATTTGTCGAAAATAATGTTAGTTACATGAAATGTGATGAACAATCAGTAAATCATCTTAAACAATTACATGAACAACTTGCACAATTATTTTCACATTGTTTAAAAAACAGTAGAAATACGTATAATCCACATATGACAGTTGCTCAGTTTGACAGTAAAGAAAAATTTAACCAAGCTAAACCATCATTAAGTAAGTGATCTCATCTGAAAATACATTAAATACAGAGAAAACAATTTTTTTCGTTTTCATGCTATTAACACACTCTATCGATCACTTTCTATGAAACAACAAGATCTTACTTTGCCAAATTTTAGTTGTATACATTATTTCCTATTGAGTAGAATTTTATATACTAAATGGGCATAAAGTATAAATATACGTTCTTTCTTGGCGAAATCAATTTTCAAAATTTGTATTATTCTTTGTATACCCTCACGTAGAAATAGAAAGTTTAATGTTCTCATTTTTGCTATATTTATCTTGTTATTTTGAAGCGGTTCAAATTTTTCTTTACTGTCAAACTGAGCAACTGTCATATGTGGATTATACGTATTTCTACTGTTTTTTAAACAATGTGAAAATAATTGTGCAAGTTGTTCATGTAATTGTTTAAGATGATTTACTGATTNTAACCATCATTAAGTAAGTGATCTCATCTGAAAATACATTAAATACAGAGAAAACAATTTTTTTCGTTTTCATGCTAGTAACACACTCTATCGATCACTTTCTATGAAACAACAAGATATTACTTTGCCAAATTTTAGTTGTATACATTATTTCCTATTGAGTAGAATTTTATATACTAAAAGGGCATAAAGTATAAATATACGTTCTTTCTTGGCGAAATCAATTTTCAAAATTTGTATTATTATTTGTATACCCTCACGTAGAAATAGAAAGTTTAATGTTCTCATTTTTGCTATATTTATCTTGTTATTTTGAAGCGGTTCAAATTTTATATAAAATTGAAAAACAATTCAGTAAAAAATGAATGTTTGCTTATTTCTATTTAGTTTTAAATGAATCATTTAAATTTCCTGTTCAACATCTTTACATCTTACAACGACCACATGATAATGATACAACACCATTTCATATTGTTCATCAAATACCATTAGGTCCTAGACTTCAACCAATTTGTTTTAAACAACTCAATTCTGTTCATACTAAATTACAAGAATTTTTTCAAATAATGAATCTTTATGAAACTCATGAATCATACAAACGAAAACAAGATAAATTTGAAAAACTTTCGTCTTGCTTTCAACAAATTTTCAATAAAGATACATTACATTGTTTTACTCATTCATTCTTATCATATGGAAGTTTTCGTATTGTAAGATAAAATTAATCATATAGATATATTTATTTTAATGCGTTCCTATTTTTAGGGTATTAATGGACAAGATGTTGATACAGTATTTCTATTGAATGAAATAAAATCAATCAATAGTGAAACAACATTTGATGAAACACTTCATCAATTGAAACATGATTCAAGTGCATTGAATAAACATATTGTTAATTTACTTGAAACACAAATAAATGAAAATTTCAAAGATGAACTCATTTATTGTAGAAAAATTGAAGCATTATTTCCAATAATATCTATTTTATTTAATGATCAAACAAAAGTGGAAATATTTGTACAAATCGAACTCAATAACGAACAAACGATTGAACGTAAAGCTGCAAATGATTCTCATCGTCCAGGATCTGCAATACATGGAGTAAGACAGATACTAAAAGGAGTTTAAACAATTTATTTTTAGAATTCGATTTTTTTTAGTAAGCTGCACAAAGTACTAAAAAGAGAATCAAACAATTTACTGATTTCAGTTATTTGATGAAGATTATAATTGATATATGAAATTAGTTTTCTATATAATTTCAAAATTCTTTTTGTTTTAAATATTTGTCAAAGATCTAGATTTTTATTTCTTTAAGTATTTCTTAAAAATGTATTAAAGTAAGAACTTTTTGAACATTGTCGATACGAACTTTGCGATAATTCGAAGCTGTTTCGAGTTATGATCTTTTGAAAAAGAAACTAATATAGAGATGAAATCAAATGATTAGTCTGATAAAAAAAATACACAGCATAAATCTATTTTTTTTTAAATATTCATTTCATTACTAAAATAATTTGATCTTAACGATATGGTGATATTCTTTTAGGTGCATGATATAGAACGTCTGTTTGTACATATTCGTTCGCCACCTATCTTTCAACATCTTCTAACATACATTCGTACTTGGGCTCAACATGTTGGTCTCTATGGACAAGTATACGGTTATCTAAGTGGTTATGCTTGGGCTATTCTGTGTGCACATATTTGTCATAAATATTTATCACCAATCAAATCTCTGTTATCAATAGAAGAGTTTTCTATTGACGAATTTTTTTCATTAGTTAAATATTTTTTTTCAACTTTTGCGCAATTTAATTGGTCAGCAGATGCCTTTTGTCTTTATCCAAAATCATATAAACCTATAACCTATTCGGGAAGACCATCAGTATATCAGCGTGGTTCAATGCGTATTATATCACCAAGTCCACCATTTAATAATGCAGCACGTTCAACAAAAAAATCTACGCGTGATTTGATCATTCAAGGTTTTCAACGTGTTGTACAATTACTTGACTCAATAAATACAATTACAACTGAAGATAAATCAAATGCACTTAAGCAAATACTTGAATTAAATAATGATTTTCCTAGTGAAAAAACGGAATCGATTATTCAACTTACCATTTCAAGTCAAAATACTGATGAATTTGATTCGTGGCTCGGTTGGATAAGATCACGTTTTTCGTTCTTCTTTAGTGACTGTGAAGAAGCATGCCATTACACTTTTCAACCGCAAAATGCAATCGAATATCAATCGAATAAGATCGAAGCACTCTATTCTATTGCTTTTCAGGTTGATTCAACAACATTACAACAATGTCGAAAATTTACTGTTTGTTTAAAGAAGTTTATTGATCAAGTGAATTCATTTTCAAATCGAACGAAGTCAATGAAGTTTTCTCAGAAAATAATATCAATAGATGATTGAAATTTTAAACAAATGAAGCCAAAATCACAAAGAATAAAGCAATAGATAAATTGTATTTAATGTTGTTTTAATGAATAAATGAATCAAATTTTTACTCGACAAATAATAGTAAATATGTACAATGAAACATACTATGTATTATCAGAAGATATTATGCTAAATAAGATACGAACTTAAGGCCAACAGAAAATTTCACAGTAGCTATTTCTGATAATTCCAAAAAGCATTGCTGAATAAACTATTGAGATGTTCTATTCTATAATATAATATTGTTCATTTTCTCATTTGTTTATAAATTTAATTCAGTAATCTCCATATTCCTTAGACATAATATTATTCGAATTTATTCCATAGGAAAGCGCATTGAACGTCATACACGTACAAAGTTTGTACATGTATGATGGGTGTGGGTCTGGGTCTTGTCTGAAACATTTCAGCCGTTCCCTGTATACACACTCACATGCAGACCCACACCCACGCCTGCACATACAATCACACCCATCCCAGTGAAAAATTTTGGCGATTTTCAATCTGATTTTTCTGCAACAAAATTAAAATTAAAATCAATTGATAATTTTGATTATTGCTGATCCTGAGTTAACTATTTTCTGATATTGTTCCTTATCCTGTACGAAATTTTCTGATCAAAATTGAATTATTCTATACAAAATCATGATTATCAATCGATTAATAATTTCGATTTATTGCAAAATAATCCAATTTTCATCAAAACGTTTCATACACGATAAGGAATAATATCAAAAAATAGTTAAGTCAGGATCAACAATAATCAAAATTATCAATTGATTTTAATTTTAATTTTGTTGGAAAAAAACTCCGATTGAAAATAGCCAAAATTTTTCACTGGGGTACACCCACACCCATGAAGCAAATTCAGTTTTGTATCATATTTTCATAGAATAATGGTTCCTAATATTCCATATTTTGCTCTATACAGTCAAAAATTAAGACAACCATAACCTTTGAAGGAAGCGATTCGCACTCAAACCCTTTTAGGGTTTTTACTAGGACACTATGCAGTATCTATCGACAAAGTTTCATCGAAATCGGCAGGGATTACCTCAAAAAAGGTTCCCTCGTGAGTAGAAGTTTTCGAAAGAGAGCACTTTTCCAGTGACAGCCGTACTGTAATCAGAAAAAAATCCCCACGGGACTTAGCCACATTGATCGTATTCGTCGAGGATGGGCAAACCATTCCGCTTGCTTGGATCTCAAGAAGAGAGCTAAAATCTTTTCAAAGCAGGAAATAACCATTTGCAGGCGAGGAACGTCATCTGCTCTTTCTCTTGATGTTCTTTCAAGTTAGGCTGCTGTTTGATGGCTAAAAGAACTACTTGTCTCGAACGATCATAAGGGTCATCGCTAAACTACGAAGCTGGCACAACTATTCCGCTGGGCTTCAATATCAAGAGTGTGGCTTGATCAGCGAATTAAGAGTCCATTTTTCGGAATTTCGCAACACGGAAACTAATCAGAAGCGAAGCTGCTTCTGAACCGGTGTTCCTTTTTCGAAGTGCATGTATTTACAGAGTCACTCAGAAACCATAAAAGATGAAAAACGCCACTTATTTCGAGCAGTTACCATTCTCAATTCGTTTCACTTTAGTCAGAAAACCATTTCTGGTGACAAGTTGTGCGCCGAAATTTTCTTCAAAGATGTCCTGAAAAGCTTTCGACTGGACGAATCTCGATCGACATGAATTGTATGCTTGTCTCAATTCGCGAAGCAATGCCTTCCAACTGTTAACATGGAACTTTGTTTTTTCATGCTGAACTCAAGAGTTTAATAAACTCGTTCAAAACTTGGTGAAACAAAATGAGATTCGAAGATTTCTCGTTTGCTGATTTGAATAAGTAACATACGTCACAGATGAATCGCTCACGGTCAATTTCTTTCATTCAATCGAAGCAGGGAAAATGATGTGGGTCATTTCTCCATGGATTAACGCAATGAAACAAACTTCCAATCAGTTTCTTAGACTTGAATTTCCGATCAGAAATCGATTTTGGCCTCTTGTGGATAATGGAGCTCGGACTACCTTGTAGATAGAAACGAGCAAAATGCAATCAAATTTTTCAGTAGAAGAACTTTGTGTGCAAGGACTCAATGTCGCAAAAATGTTTCTAGTTGGTCTAAGTCTATTGAGTCGAGCGGGAAGTAACTGCAATCCTTAGAAGAAATGTGTTTTTCCACACTTCCCCGTCGGCGTTGTTCTTATTCCATTTTCCGAACAGAGATTGGGAAAATCGATTTTCTATGCTTGAAAATTCGGGATTTCAATGCCCAACTCTTGGCATCTTGCAAAACAACATCCATGAAAAGAACGATAAAGCAGACCATGATTTCATACATTCGGATTTGGACAGCACCGAAAAAAAGATCTGGACTATAGGCACAAAGAAAGAGCTGGAGGAAATCCATCCGACAAAAAGTACTGGACTTCCGTAACTGAAAAAGCCGAGTAAACACTATCCGAAACTCAGAGACAACAAACGGAAGAAATGTGAGAAGTGATGATGGCGACAAGTCTCTTTCGGATCTCGATATGAAATGCATTTAGCAAAATCATCAAACTCTCCCAGAGTTGCTGATGTTGTCGTTCACTCCTCTTTGTTCTGTGCGAATGTAATCAAGTCAGGATACCTTTATTGACAATTGCGAAAGGTAGAAAATCAATTTGAAGAGGGGAAAAATTATATCACTTACTCACCTCCCTCCTTTCTTTGTATTGTGTCACATTATGGGTGTGGGTGTGGGTGGGTCTGGGTGTTTCTCATATTCATTTACACTCACACCCACACCCCGAGGTAGCGCCTCACTACGGGGCCGTTTTTGTACCACTATCCTCATTTTAAACTGATCACCCTAACAATTTGTAGGTGGTATATCATCGTTATGTCCAGATAGTTATAGATTTTTACCTTTTGATTCAGTTAAATCATTGGTTAGTCGTTTAAATTTGAATCTTGATTTTTTATTTAATGAATTGACTATTGTGAAACCTAGACTGAAAAATAAATCATTGAGTTGTATTATCGATCTATATCCATAATTGTGTCTATTTCAAGAAGCTTCTTCAGTTCTTGCTGCATTAATAGAAATTGCTATAATGATTCCAGTGCCTTCAATAACTCGCAGAATAACTTTTCCACAATGAAAATAATAAAAATAAAAGCAAGAAATACAATGACGGATGATTGTCTAAATGAGTTATGTGTCTCAGCAATCAAGCGTGATATATATAGATGTAAATTTTGAGCAGGGTATTGATGATTTTGCAAATACTAATAAAAGTAGTCGGATTATACTGAAATAAACAATTATCAATTATTTATTTGTCTTAATATTTTGTTCACATGAATGGTTTGATTTGTGAGCCGTTACAAATCGTCAGTGTATCAACATAGCCTTTTAGACTGATTCTGACGTTATGTTTTAGACTTAAGTAATATTAATTTTGGCGTACATAAATTGGTTAATGCTTCAAAGACAATAAATGCAGTCTGAGGCAGTGCCTTACCACTCTTGAATTTCTGGTTACGCCGCTAGTATGAAGCAATTAGCTTCTACTGGTTATTCGTTGCTCTTGGATAAAGACCAGATTATAAAACCCTATTTGATATATTTGTGAAAAGAAATAGTTTTCGTTTCTAAATACCTCTAATACACAATTAGTTTGATAAGTAAATATTGAAAATAGGAAACTTATTTTCAAAATCTAATAATTGTTTGAGTTCTATAGAACACGTAAGAAAATTCCTATTTTTTCGTTTATCGTTGAAAAATTTCATAAGTTTGGTTCTTATAAATATGATTCTATTTTTAAAGGTCAAGTTCATCGTATTTCAACTAAATATGTTATCAAACAACATCATCATTGATCTTAACTTTTTTATAATAACTCATTGAAAATTTGGAGCATAATCTTGAAGTCATTATTAGATAAAAGTTTATCTGATACAAAAACGAAAATTTCTCCTCGCCATAGCAAACCATTTATCAATGTTTCTGTAGAATACTAGGTAATATCTGTGCTAAAAGTCTACCAAATATTGTTTATTTTAAATACATTGATTCTGGGTTGCAGCTTAATCTTCGTGATTTTGTTCTGCACTAAGACTCAAAATTTTCAGTATTTCAACACAAAATTGAGAAATTATTTGCATGAAAATCGATTGACATTTTCACTAAAATGCTAATCACGATTAATTTTAGTTGCTATAAGACTGTAGACTGTCTTTTTACATTCGATTCGTAGATATATTTTTCGATTGTATTTTGAAGATGATCCAGAGCATTACTGAAGTTTCATATATTTCATTTCACTAGTCCATTCAAGAACTTGATACAAAATCATTCATCTACACAAATTGTATTTGTATTTATTACCAGATTGTAGTTTGAGATTTCTAAAATTAAGTAGGATCGCACTATTTATTATTGATCAATAACAAAAGCACAACACTTTAGTCTATGACAATTCAAAACGATGACTAGCATTGTCAAAACTGTTGGAGGAAATAAAAAATCATATGAAGATGAACGCATCATGGCAATGATATTTTGAACGTTTATAAATTATCATTTTATAAAATTGATAAGAGCGTTACAAATGTAAAAAAATAATGCATAAAAATTTTATTCTAAAAAACAAAGCTGAAGAGAATAAACAAAGATTGTGTTGATGTGACATTTTTTATTCAATATCAACAAAATTTTGAAGCCTATTGTTGAAAAATTTTTAACATCTTCAAATTTTTATTTATATCTTATGAATGTTTCTCTTCCTCTTAGAGCTTTATTCACCAATAATTCTATCAGAACTTCAGCTTATCGAAATCAAGATTTAAATATGAAAACCAGAGAACACCTAAATAATGATAAGTCAAGTTGACATAACGATAATGTGAAATACATTTCTGACAATGGATTGGCTGTAATTGTTTTCTTCAGACATTAAAATTGAATTGATATTGTAAGTGATTTAAAAAAATTCATTATCTACACTCAACAAATAAAATTTGATAAAAATAAAAAAGATTCTGAGTGTCGATATTCAAGTGACTCTTATTTACATAGACATTATTGAGGATATTATGAATTGTTTGTAACTTCTTAAACATTTGAACTATTATGAGGTTTTCTATATCTAATTAAATATTTGGATTCTTTTTAATTCTAAAATATCTCAAACGTATCAAGCTGCATACAAAAAGATGCAACATTTTTATTTTCAAGATTCAGAAAATAATGATATTCTCAAAAAATGCTAAAAATGATGCATAAGACAGAATAATTTTGTTCCTGTAACGCTGGCGCTTTCTTTTATTAGTTCGAAAGAAAAACCGAGTGTCAACAGATCTCTTCTATTTTCGATGTGCAAAACATAAGTTACGATGTAGTTCTGATTTGATATGAATAAAAGAGTTTTTTCATAATAGATTAAGAAACACTGAATTTAGCTTTGTGAAGAAACGATGTAGTAATAAAGTTTTTGTAAAACAACTATTAATTGATAATATTACCTCACTTTATTAAAGAGTTGTAAGCTTAGAAATGGCGTTCCATAAAAAGGAATGAGGGAAGAAAATGGTTTCTCTACAAAATCCCACCAAAGATGAGATTTCAGAGTTATAATCGAACCGAAAAGAATAAATACGAGAAGAAAAATACAAAATGTTTGAAAATTTATCATTTTTTGAAATTCGATCTTTTCTTCTACTGCTATTTTTTATTAAAATAACTGAACAACTCTGTGTCTTAGATTCTGCACTGTAAATCGATGAAAAAAAGTGATCCGAGTTTTGATATCGTAGCTAATCAGAGCAGAACAGTTGATTTTGATTTAAAACAAACATTCTTTCCCTAAAATTATAAGATATTCAATTAAAACTTAATTGGAGAGATCGGACTTCTGGTTCTTTTTTTCTTTCTTGCGAAAAACATTTCTTCCAATCTACAAGGGTGTGGGTGTGGGTGTGGGTGTGGGTGTGGGGTGTGATGGTGTGGGTGTGGGGTGTGGGTGTGGGCGTGGGCGTGGGTATGGGTGGGTGTGGTTGTGGTGTGGGTGGTGTGGGTGGTGTGGGTGTGGGTGTGGGTGTGAGTGGATGTGGTGTGGGTGTGAGTGTGGGTGGGCGTTGGTGGGTCTGGGTGTGAGTGTGGGTGGGCGTTGGTGGGTCTGGGTGTGAGTGTGGTTGTCGGTGTTCCCGTCGAGGTTGATGAAGGTAAAACACCCCCCCCCCCCCCCCCCCCCCCCCCCCACCCCCCCCCCACCCCCACCCCCCCCCCCACCCCCCCCAACACCCCCCCCCCCCCCCCCCCCCCCCCCCCNCAAGCCATGCAAGAAAAAAAATTAATGAAATAAAATAAAAAAATGCACGCCATGATGGAAGACTATCAAGAGCTCGATACATAAGAAATACCCATCCTTCTTGACTAGCTGATTCATAAACTGAAAAAAAACTAGTTGCTAATTCATCAAAACCATTATAACCACGTAAATTTCGTTGAATTTCAATTTTTTTGCAATTAAAATTTTCTGGACAATGAAAACCATGTTTTGTTGGTGAACAATATGTATCAGGTATCATTAAATCTGACTGTACCACGTTACTTAAACAAAGAAAAAAACAGACGAAAAAATCAAAACAAGTAAAGGAATCTTTTTTTCTCATACTTTAAATCAGTACCGTTTCTAACACAATGGAATGTAAGTGATCCAAAAAATTGTACACCTAATATGGCATATAAACTAATAAAGAATAGAAAAAAGACTGTTACATTATAAATTTGTGAACTCGAACGGCTAAAATAATAAACAAGTAAATAAAGAACAATAGTTTACATAATGAACAATTGTTTCTTTTTATTAGCATACTGAAGAATAGATTTAATCTGGCTTTTAGATAATTTAAATTTGAGAAACTTTTTGAGAACTTTTATAAGAATAAATGGACGTGGTGAACGAATTATTGTAAAATATGAATATTTATTCATAATACCAATTAATTCGAACGTCTATAAACAAAAAGAAAAAATAGAGATTATTAATAAAACAAAAAATACAATTGACAAATTTTACTTGTAAAATAATAGAAAAATAGATATTTAAAACCATAATAGCATCAAAACGGTTCCATCGATCACGTAAATAAGATGAATCACCAATAAATATTCCTTGAGTTTTTATTTTTGCAGCCGCTTCAATTGTTAATATAATTGCACAAGTTATATCGATGATAAATGTTGCATATTGAAGAAATGGATGATATTCAAATGTTTTTGGTGTATTCATACATGTTGAAATAAAACTTAAAAGACCAGTAAAACGAAATATATATTTAGCTAATGGTTTATTCGTCCATTCAAGATTACCAACCATTGAATCTTCTTGGTTATAATTCATTAATGGGACAAAATCACCACGGAAACTTTGCTTTTTCATCAATGCTATTATCGATGAAATAGTAGTGCCAGCTGATGAGGCCGCTGCTGCCATTATTCTATTTGCTTATATTATTGTCTACAAGAAAAAGACAAAAAGAAGAATCTCGACTAGTTGATGATTAGTAAGACATATAAAGCAAAGAGAAAGACAACAAAACGAATTGTATACGATCTTATATGGACAGAAGGAAGATATATATTGGCTCATGATTTTCTATTATTTGTTACGCAGAATAGCATGCGAAAAGCGGTACAAGGATATAGAATAAAACGAGAATCTCTTTTCAGTCAAGTAGTACATGTTGTTGTTATCGTCTTTTGACAACTATAGAAGATGATGACGACATCGTTTTTGTTTCTCGTCGTCTTCTTTTATTTTTATTTGTTTCTTTGTAAACAAGAAAATGCAATGTGTACTAGATAATTTTAGTCTTATTCGTCAATTGACTTTTCTCTCCTTTCCACAATCTTCTTTTCTATTCTTTATCTCTTCTTAAACGAGTCGTATGGGACACTACATCACGTAGAATAATGCCGGCTAGTACGCAAGGGAGAATTTTAAATTGAATCTTTTCGCTATAGACAATAGGAAATAACTTGTCTCGATATATTGGCAGTCACATGTTATTAGTAATAGCGCGTAAAAAACAGAGGTCAACATAATAAGCTGATCAGTACTAGAAGGGCAACCAAAACAACAAGTGTACTAAACATACATTTGACGTGTCTATCATGTTTGCATATAGAATCTCATTACCTTTTTCTGATATCTATATATTTTGAATTTCTTTAATTATTCGAGTCCTGATATGACTCATTAATTGAAAATTTCATACAACACACAAAAGAATAGAATTAGGAAAGAAAATCACAGTAATAGCAAGCAGTAAAGTTTTGTTGCTTCATACATATAATTAATAAACATATATATATACAAAGAACGATAATAATGCGAGTCATACACAAAGAAAAAAGAGAAAAGAAACGAGCAAATAAAGAAGAATGTTAAGTTTCTTTCGTATAACTAGTTGTTTCTCTTTACTTTCTTTTGTTCGAAACGTGTTACGTTGCTTGAAAGAAGAAAATGAAAAGTTACTGATGAACAACTTACAAAAAAAAACCCATAACATCCAGAAGCAACTATCTATCTTTCTATCGTCATTTCTATTCGCCTGTAATGTTAGTTGAAGAGACATTACAAGCAAAAGAAATATAGCGTGTTCCAAAAGTTCGCCGAAGTAAATTTGTATGACTTCACTATTTATTAAACTCAATCAAGTATTTTCTTTTCAACTGATAGGCATCACTGTGAAGTTTTTATTTATACGGGCCAACTTTAAAAATGCGGTTCAAAGTTACCACTTACGACTGAAATACAAAACACCAGTTCTTTTTTCGTTTTCAAGAAAAGCACTTCTCAGTGTTTCTCTCTTAATGCTTCAATTTCTTGTGTTTTTTTGTGAAGTTTATATCGGTCAGAACTTGCGTTATCGTCTATATGCATTTGTTTCTATATGTCACCGTAAAAAGAAGCCTAATAGTGTCAAGTTCGATGATTATGAAGCTTATAAAATCTGTGTAACTTTTCGAACTGATGAACTGTAGAGGGTGAATTTATTTCATGAACTTTGTGATCATCGGGTGTGGGTGTGCGTGTGCGTGTGCGTGTGGATGGATGTGGATGTGGGTTGGTTTCCGTCAATGGAACACTAACACCGATGTCTACACCCATACCTTAGTACAGTAATACCCGTTAAAATAAAAAAATTCAAGAATAGCGGTGACATTTTTCTGTTAATTTATTTTAAATTTAAATTTTTCAAAATTTTTTTTCGGACTCAATAAATTGGCGTAAATGTAAATAGGCCACCCCTATTTAAGAAACATCATTAAGTCTTCACACATGAAAACAAATGCAACATTTAACGGTAATTAATACGGTAATGTCCGTTGAAATTAAAAAATACAAAAAACATCATTAAAAGTCTTCACACATGGAAGCACACCCAATATTTAACGGTAATTAGTACAGTAAGATTCGTTAAAGATAGAAAAAACTCAAGAAACATCGTTAAAAGTCTTCAGAAATGAAGACGAATCCAACATTAAACGGCATGTAACGAGTTATTTATCCTTGAAAAGATCATCACGAGTGAAAACTGAAAAATCCAACGTATTTTTATGAATTTCCAAAATTTAACGCAAGTTCGTGAACTTTTCTACATGAAACTTCGTCAGTTTGTCTTTTAACGTAACTTTTGACGTTAAGTGCCTTTTTTAGTTTTACATGGATTACTTTACTGTATGAGTTGCAAGGAGGGTCAAAATTTTGTGGCAAATAGTTCAGTTTTGATTGAGTTATACAAATTATACGATTAAAAAAGTAACTCCATATGCAGCATGAACATCATTTAAATTTTCTTTGAAATTTTTTCTTTAAAAACATTTAAGACACCAAGCTCGTTTGCTTCTCAAATAATTTCTCTATATTTCTCTTGCGTATCTATAATCAAATTTGTTCAAGTGCAATTTTCTAAAACAAAATGTCAATAATTTTTATTTTGCCCTATTTTTTATCGTAAAAATGTCACTGCATACTTTGTGAATAAAACTAAATTTTCTTCAGAATGGAGAAAGATTTTAGCTTGTTTTTTTTGCGATATTCCTCTATTAGATGAGTTGCAAAATCCTCCAATTTTTGTGGCGAACGGTTCAGTTGTCATTGAATTATAGGACTAACAAAATTGAAAAAGTCGCTCTACCTCTAGTTTGAAATTCATTCTTTTTCGATGTTGTGTAAAATTTTTGCATTACAAAAGTTCATGAAACAAACCTCTTTTTACTTCTAAAATTATTTTTCCCGTATTTCTCTTTAATACTCAATTAACTTTGTTCAAGTGAAGTTTCTCCAAGCGAAATCTCATTAATTTCAATGTTGCTCTATACAAAAATAAAAAATGTCTTGATGCAAAATTCTACAACTCTAACTGAGAAAACAATTTAAAAAAGTCGCAATGGAATAAAAAAGATATTGGTTGACTTTCGACAAGTGGCGTTGGAATCTATGTACTTCACCTGTCGTTATGGTTTCTCAGAAACTAAAGCAGATGGAAACTTGATTTTTTCAGAAGTGAATGATCATCTTCAAACTAGTAACGCAACAAAATTATCAACATCGATTGAGTAGAACTCTACTTATCGATATTTTTCTTTTCGGGATACAACGGTATATGACCGTGCTTTTCACTCACATAGATTATGTATGTGTAGACCATTAGACAGTCGTGAAGACAAGAAGCAGCAGAAAGAAAGAGAAGAAAAAAGTAAAAAGAAAATACACATGGAAGGCAGTAGAATCTGATGCTATCGTCACGTATCATAAGAGACAGTTATCGAAATTTCATTGTTATGATATCGAAGAATGATCAAATACCATAGAAACACACAACATTGCTTTTACTATCATTGCATGTAAAGAGAAAGTTTTCTCCTACTTTCTATATGGAAATAAAGTACTTTCGTCACTATTTTTGGGTAGTTCTAAGTATCTTGTAACTTTTCGACATTTTTTTCAGTCTTTTCTGTTACGCCATTTTTTCTGCTTTTTTGTTTTGCCGTTTTGTCTACCTCTTTTGTTTCCACATTTTTTCCTATTTTTTTCACTTTAACATTTTTTTTCAAAAGTAATCAATGCATACATATTTGTTGAGACGTTACAGATGAATGCGCCACGATGGAGCACTGAAGCCTAACGAAAAACAAAACATATCTTCACTTACAGAAAAGAAAGACCAGTAATTAGTTGTGCACATATACATGTAGTACCAACATGTCCGTTGAATATGAGTTCAAAACAGCAGAAGCCCTTGATCAATCTACGAATGTTAATATGGAGATTATTCAAAGCAAGGCACATGAAAATACTGACAATATAAGCAAATCCAATTCGTCTTACATTGAAAACGATTCTCAAGATGATCAGGTATATATTCATGTCCTGATCAATGATGAAAGTTTTCTCTAATTTTGGGGTGGCAATTTAAATAATACGTAAACTAAATTATCGGTAACTTAAAATTGAGATAAATTCTAATTTTAATATCTCCTTGAATTTAAATTTTCGACAATTTAATTTATTTTAAATTTCAATTCTTTGAATTTCGTAATTTACTAAAATAAAGATTACATTAAATTATTCTACCTTTTTTTGGAGCTCAATTGGGGATTTATCTCCTATTTGCAACATGAAGTTCATATATAAATTAAGTGTTGCATACTATTTCCTTCTATACAATACTTCTTGATCTGTCGAAAGACTCTACTCTGCATCGAAATAAGTTTTTCAAAGAAAAATCAACAACTTAGTTTATGCCATAGAGAAATGAAACATGTTTGAAATATTTTTCTCAAAGTAGTCATTTTTCAATAATTACAAGTAATTATTAATTTGATGTCAGCCGAGACTTGTGCATGGAGAAGTACTCATTTTCAGATGTCATAAAGTTTTCTTCCTCTTTTATTAGCTCATGTATTAGCGCTATGATTTCAGTGTTTTCCAAACGCATTGAATATGTTGGGGTTGACGACAATTCTATGTTCCAGACTTGGATAGAATTACAGTTTCTTAGTTATCATAAAAGAAATTGTCTTTGTCATTTTTCTGTTACAGAATACTTAATCTTCTTTATCTGATTATTTGCATTAATAAATGACAAGAAAATACAAAGAAGGCAGCATGAAAGCTAATTAAATTAGGTGTCATTTATTGGATATACAATGCAGGGCTAAAGTTAAGAAAGAGAAATTATTATTACATTAGCAGACACCAAGTAACGGGTAACTAGAAATTCGTCACTAATATCTTGATAGGAAAAGGCTATTTCGGTGAAAGAATGATTTTTCACAGGAATTGCCCAACTGTCGTTGAGGTCGAGAAATCCTAGCCAGTCATTGGATTAGCAAAGTGCATCACAATAATTTCTGGGTATCGCAGGAGTATTTCAGGAAAATAGTGTCTTTGTATAGAGAGAAATCAAGGTAGCGAATTTCTAA